ATATATATATATATATATATATATATATATATATATATATATATATATATATATATATAATTAAAAGAAAATACGATAGAGAGCTCTCTGCGATGTCCTACATATATGTACATACACATGTGTATATAAAAAGAAAAAAAAAACGAAGCAAATAATCCAATAGCTGTACAATTGTCTTTGAAAGTGAAATGTTGCTGCAGATCGTAAATATTGCAATAATCAAATCGATTTTCTTTACGTTATAATAGAGCATAATAATTCTTTCTTTTCCTCTTACGCAATGCCCGAGAGTAAATAACAATAATCCTAATAGCCATGCGCCGGGCGGCGGCCGATCGCCGTTGGTACATACATAGGATATCTGGAACTTAAAGCTTACTAGAAAAAAGTCTAAGTTAGGATAACACCGTGCCCGCGTTCGCAAAAACGCTCAACACGTCGATCGAGGTGTATTTGAGGAATTTCGTGTTTTCCATTCGTCGGGTAAACGTCGGTCTAAACTCCCTCTTTCCTGTCGTCCGGAATCGCGGGTTTGAAAACGATAATAGATATTACGATATTTCTTCTTTCTTTACTTTTCTACCCGCTAAACCCGATAGCCGTTTCGCGTTGATACCGAGTCGCACATTTCTAAGAGGAAGAAATGTGCTAACGTATGTTCGACATCGTTCACAGCGACTCCCGGTTACCTTTTTTTCTTCTTTTCTGTTTTTTTTTTCTTTTTCTTTTGACTTACTACTCGATCCCGTCCCACCCTCGTCGGATATATACGCTCACATACATGAGCAACATATATTTCTCTCTTTATTTTCTGTCCCAAAAATCACAGAGGCATATAATGCACCTCGATGTATGGTGTAAACCTGTACAAAAGTTGTTCCTCGCATTTACTCTATACTTATTTTTTTTCACGGTACAATAATAATGTATTTAAAATGTAACTTATGTAACCTTAGTACTGATTAACGATGACCGCATTCCAGCGTGACCAGCCTTTGGCCGACTGGAGCTAACAGACAAATATGCTCCTTCAAGTGTAAAACTCCATTGCCACCTTCTTCTCTATTTCTGTCTCTTTCGCGCGCATACATACATACATACGTACACATGCACGCACGTACGCACACACACACACACATACACGTGCGCGTATATTTGTGCGCACGCTCTCTCATTCTCTCACTCTCTCTCTTTCTTTCTACCAATTTCGCCCTCTCCTTCTTTCACGCTTTCTCTTCACGATTCATTTAATATTCGATCTTCCGTGCACTCTATATGCAACATCACTAATACTCTAACTATATACTCTATATAAAATATCGTTAGTATAACTAAAACTGTGCTGTGTCCAGCTGGAATGCAGCCCTATTTTTATGTCAGCATCATACATTTTCTTCCCCTTATATCTCTCGTATCTTCCATTCATATTCTGTTTCTCCTTCAACGGCAAATCTTTTGTTGTTACACAGACAATTTTCCTCAGTCAATGATTTACTGATAAATTCACATCACTAACTGTAGAGTCTGTCATTGGTCGGTCGGTTAGTTTGATTCCCAGCTGTTCACTCGGCGTCGCAATTATTATTATTTATACGAATTTTACACTCATTCAACAGTACCAGAAATTTGCCTCCATCTTAAGTGTTCTAGTTCCCTGAATCGCCTCCGTCTTCATGTTTTCTTTTCTTTCCTCGTACTGGTGACAATTCTGCACAGAACGTAATCAACACCGTTGTACAAAAGCATGAGAGTTAGTTAATAATAGAGTACAAAATGTAAACAAAGATATATTTCAATAATAATTTCAATATCCAGATTCTCTTATTCGTCTTATATTCGTTACATTAAACTGCGTCGAAAGCAGTTGAACTAGCTTTAAAACTCTAAGCAAAAACAAGAAAAAAGCAAGAGGAATCTTAAAGTTTCGTACCTTCCTCCTCGTCTTGCTCTTCATCCTCGTTATCTTCCTCATCGTCTTCTTCCTCTTCTTCTCCCATATAATCTTCTTCGTCACTGTCATCCTATCATATCGACATATTTATTTTTAATTACATTGAAAAACTGGGTCATCGTACTGTGAGTTATGGGAGTTACACATTTTCGTAATTACATTACAGATAATGAGTATCTAATGAGCGGAAGAACTCGATGAACATACCGTTTATCTTTAAGCTTCGTATCGCATCAGTGAACGCGCGCGCGCGCTTCTGCGTTATAAATTACTCAAAATACAAGGCGAGCAAAATTTACCTCGAGGTTTTCTTTGTAGACGACATCTAATCCTGGCTCATCATCTAAGTATTCTTCTTCTTCTTCGTCTGAAACTGTAATTTAATATAAATGAACATCATATTACCATCTACGATATATAATTATTATAAAAAGCTTTTTCTCAACCAACCATCTTCGCTCTCTTCTTCATTAGCGTCGCCATCTCCGTCTTCGTTTCCGTTCACTTCGTCGTCCTCGCTTTCATCAACTTCGTCGTCATCAGCATCAAATCTGAAAGTTAATTGACAAAACAATGATTAGTTGGTTTACGAAAGATAACTTGGCACGTATGCTCCCGGTTAATAATAATTTATGACATACCCGTCGAGATATCGTAAACTAGGGATCAGATGGAAGACTTTCTCCCTATAATTATCCATATTTGTCACTTCATTGTTGAAGAGATCCAGGTTCTTCAGATTATTGAACTCTTTCTGAAATACAAAAGGACCTTGCATTATAGCGATTGTTTATCTTACTTGACAACAAATAGGCGCCTCGGGAAATGCACAATAAGCGTGAGAACTTACCAACGGCTGTAGCGTGTCGAGATCTTTGATCTTGTTCCCACTCAGATTCAGATGAGTTAATTTGGGACTCGAATCGAGCAGATTTAAACCGCCCGAAATCCGATTGTCGCTCAACTCCAGCTACATAACAGAACAACATTTTGCATTTACATCACGAGAAAAGATTCGTTCTCGCGGCAAACAGAGTTATATCATTAATGTATCCTTCTTAAACGACGCGTTAAATATTTACACACTTTCCCTCTGTAATATTTAACAGTCGTCACATCTTGGATACTTTGCGATGAGCGTACCTTTTTAAGACTGGGTAACTTTGGGAAGCCTTTTAGACTGGTAAGACCCACATTGATGAGACTTAATGATTCTAGGGAGACAAACTCGCTTGTCAAACCCACGATTTGCGTACTCCGACAGTTATCAAGAACAAGTTCTTTGATCTGCAACCATAAAAACAAACCACATATCGCGTGAATCATCCAAATTATCCACAATTATTTACACATTAACAAAGGACGTGCAGGATAAACCAGTTTGCGCGTAGGTCATTTAAAGCAGAGCACAATACATATAAATACACAACTGAATACATTCTTTCACGTGGAAAATTATAACATGTGCAAATTTCCGGATTGATATTTATTACATTATTCGTGAGCGAAAATTCGCACACGCACACACATACATACAAGACTTCCCAACCAGGAACGAATGTCGGTCGATCGAAATCCGAATCATCGTGATTCCAGTATTACTTTGCGCGGTTTCTCCCGTAATTGAGAGGAAAGAAAAGATGGATCACCGTGCGAGAGGAAGGGAGGGAAAGATAAAACGGACGGCACTCGAAAAAAGTCGGCCGGCATCCTCACGCTAAAATTCAAACGAGCGATAAGCTTTCGCGGGAGATGGGCTATTTTATTGATCGAAGAAAGAGAAAGGCGAGAGGGCGAGAGCGGAGCAGGAAAGGAGTCAGAGAGGAGGGGGTGCGGAGGTGACGAAGCGCGCGCGCGCGCGCGTTCTCTCTCTCTCTTTCTCTCTCAGAGCCTGGAGAGGAAGGAGAGAGGGAGGGGAAGGAGAAAGAGGGAGGAGGCGTGACGGTAAGCGGAGTGCATGCCGCGTCTTGTTTAGCGGCGTCGGAAAAGCCGGCGAGCGACAAGCATGGACTGCGGCACGCGACGCCGAGTACGAGAGGTAGGGGGTGGTTGTCGCGGTGGTGGTGATGGTGGGTGCTATCGATACCTCGTTGCTGGAAGAAGTATCGATGATACTCTCGATATCTCGGAGTTGCTTTTTATTTCGCACCATCGACTTTGCTACTTAATCCACTGTGAAAAAATGGCTTCCGTTTCGGCGCGCGTCTCCCCGGCTGAATTTTTACAGTATTTTGCTAACGACGACGACGTCCATTCGACCTCTCTCGCCTCATTTATGGCGGCCGGAAGAACAAATGACGTAATGATGGATGCGCTCTTTTGATGTTGTTTGATCATGCCGCGCAACGAAATCCACACGTCGCGTGGTAAATTTGCATAGCGAGGTAACATCGCGTTCCAGGCCCGTTTCACGGTCCTCGCGATTAATTCAATTTGACGTTCATTGAAAATTTAGTTGAATTACACGCAACTTTCTACCGCTTTCTGGCCGCGATTCCTCGTCTGATTAGATACACGTCACGTTCTGCTATATTCCTAGTTACGTCCATCAAAAGATGTTGCACCGATCGCGATGGCATCGTTACGAGAAGTCATAAGAGCGGATCAATGACAGTTACGGAGCAAGGAGACCGGGGAAGCGAGGGTTGCGTACGTGTCACGTTGTTGAACTTTTCTGACGCGACATCATTTCCAGATGCGTGATAATCATCGCGCTACAAGGACAGAAGAGATCAGTCGGACAAACTTAAGAACACACATTATCATACCCGTCGCAACGAAAATCATCTTTTTACTCGCATTTCCATGTGCGTATATTTTTCGTGCAAAAATGATCGCGCGAGATCTCCCAGCAATCCACCGCGATTCGACAGAGCCGAAAATACACGTTGAAGAATTCGAAAGACGCAAAAATTTTCGAAACTTTCGACGTGGAAGAGCACCGGGGGTGCCCCGTTTTGCGTCACACCCTAGCTACGGCCCTGCGAACGCCCACGCATGTACGACCGGGCGACGCCGCGTGGACGATGCGGCGATGCACCTGAGAAAGTCGGGCGATGCCGGCTGACATCGGCCGGGCACGGCGCGGCACGACGACGAGGCGCGAAGCGACGATACTATGTATATATAACATCGCGTCGTCGCTTCACGCCGCCTCGAAGGGGAAGAGAGAAAGAGAGAGAGAGAGAGAAAAGGGAGCCGCGAGCGCGAAGCACGATGCGTACGTGCGTCGTGAAATGCGTGCGTGCGCGTGGCTTCTCTTCGCCGGAGTCTCGGCAGCCGGCCGGAATCAGCCAGAGTCACCACCGACGACGGAGTGGACTCGTCCAAGATGGCGATGCGGTGATTAGCGGCCCCAACGAATGTATATATGCATACAACACGAAGCGCGGTGCGTACTTACGCGCCGGGACGCGGCCGACACATCGCCGTCGGCGTCGCGACGCTCTTTCTTTCTTTCTCTCTCTCTCTCTCTCTCTCTCTACGCCGTGTGGGAAGTGTCTTCCGTCTCCTACGACGGAAGAGTTCCGGCGCCGCGCAGCGTAATGGCGACGTCCAGCTGCCCGCGTGCACGCGCGTCTCTCATGGCGGAGCGAGCGAGCGTGCGCGCGCGCGAACGTCATTTACATAACGCGGCGCGGAGGTGCGCGTGCGCGCCACTCGCTCCGTGCAATCTGCCGCGCGTTTTCGCTAATCGGAATCATCGTGGCGACGCCTTGACGTTAGAAAACACAATAGTCAAATAACCATTTACGTGTCGGACTAGTTTCGTCCTCTACGTGGGATCGCGCCACGTGACCATCTCCATCGCCATTACGAGTCGAAGACCACGAAGAGAGAACGAGATTAGAAGCGTTCGAGTCGCATCTGGTCTTATTCCGCGACGATTACTCGAAATTATTTATTTGAAACGCGCTTAGTTTCTCTTAGACTCTCTCGAATGTCAAACGTGAGACTTTTGCGAAGAACGTCGCGTGATCGCCTAATCGAGAGACCAGATACATTTTCGGGGCAGCACCTTGTCGTGCGACTTTTTCACGTCGATCAATGTCGCACCGATAGCAAGAAGATTCTCGAGAACGATCATTGTCAACGAGTCGGCAACACGACACACTAATGTCTCGCGCACCACCGCCATAAACGTTTTATCGCTGACAGGAACAACGCGTTCTAGAAAGGAAGTTTCCTAAGAGACTGTAAACCGTCCGTCGCCTGTGAGTGCGCCTGTTTTGTATGTGTGTATGTGTGTGTACGCGTCCCGTGCATTTGCTCCGATTGAGAAGTTTGCGAGGATTTTCGCGGATGCAAGCATAATCGACATCGCGCCGAGATTAATGGCTCTTCCTCTCCTTCAAGTTCGATTTATTCACACCCCGAAACTTTCGACGCAGTTTACGCACCGGCGAGACGCGGGACACCGCTCCTGATCGGGCGATAACACGTTTTTTGTTGCGCGGATCGAACGCGGAAACGACGCTGAAATAGGCGCTGCGAAATTTCGTTAAACCGTAGCCGCGCGTCAGTCGCCATGCATTTTTGGGGGGAAATGCAGCAGCCGGCGGTGCTGCCGTGTGGCGAATGAAGTTCAGTGAGATTACACACACACACTTGGTTCTTCGCAATTAGTCGCGCCTAATTAACAGACACGTCGCGCGATCGTTAATGGAAAATGCGACGTATTTTACGGAAAATCGACTGACCAAGTACCCTCTCGTCGATTAATCTCTATTGCATTTGCAGCGCGGAGGAGCCTACGACACTCGTGGGAGGGTCTCCCCACTGTTATTCTTTGTCGAGCACTCCCATTCGGTGAATATCTTATCTCACGAATAAATCTATAAATATATTTATCCGCACGATCGATCTCCAACTTGACGAATGCACTCTGAGAATACTGCACGACTATGTCTTGCGCGCGGATTGATTCGGTCGGATGTGAATCCGTCATATCTCGGCGAGATCCTCCTCACGACGGATTTCGTTGCCTCGCGTACGCATTTAACACGCGAACGTCGCGAGATTTCATCAATCACTTACGTAACTAATTAGGCTAAGACGCAGGCAAATGAATTTCGAGCTTCGTATCAACGGTAATGATTAATCCGCCACTCGTGGCGCGATTTTCCCTTCAGCGTGCACAATATGCTGTTCAGAGCTGAATCATTTTCTCGAGCAGAGATCATCGTCATAGTGTGTCCATGATCGCGCAGGTGTGCGTATAATCTAAGCGGTCGTGGAACTCTTTCCGACGACTTCGCGCGTTCATCGACTGTACTTTCACGACGGGATATTTTGATATCTCGATATCAGGAGAGAGAGAGAGAGAGAGAGAGAGAGAGAGAGAGAGAGAGAGAGAGAGAGAGAGAG